ATGTACTCCAAATAATCTGTGCATCAATGTTGCATGCGTACGCCCATATTATTCGCTTATTCTAATTTTAGGTAAAGTGTGCCTTCTTTTTCTTCTATATAAATCTTAATAAACTCCACAAAATTTGGTTTCAATGGCAATAGCGCCAATGGTTTATTTACAAAACGTAAATCAAATTGACATTAGCATTGTATCGTAAGCATTTATTATGCATGTAGTGCAAAGCCATCAGGGGAAAAAAAAAAAATTTTTTTTTATCACTGCGCCAAAAGATTAGATAAAAAAAATTATGATAAGTTGTGGATTGATGTATTGTTGTTATTGTTATTTTTTTGACAGCTGCCGTTTAATTGTCCTTCTTTAAGTTTTTTTTTTCTTTCGGCATTTTTTTATCTTGCATTAATATTTGTATATGTTTAAAAAAAAAAATAAATGACGTTTTATTTTGTTAAGGTAATCATACATTCATCACACTATTTCCAAAATGTTGAAACACGTAACGTCCCTCGCATATTAATCAATTGTTATTTTTTCGTTTAAAAAATGTTAAAATAAAATGGTAAGTACGTACGTACTAAAAAATGCTGTAATCATTACAATTTTTTTTTTTACTATTATTATTAATTAAAATTAACGTTAAATTAATCAATATAAATAAAAAAAAAATACTCATAATTACATACAAGATATCTACAAGCGTATAATTTTCTTCTATAGAAAGTAAAAAGCTTGTTTTCTTAAATTAAATTTATTTATTTGATTAAAGTATTACAGAATTTAAATTTTATAATTAGTTTACTAACCTTTTTTAGATTATTAAATAATTTACAATTAAATCTAATTTATTTTAATTGTTTTTTTTTTCTAAAGATTCTTTTAAATAAATATTTATTTTAAATTCATAAAATAAAAATAATAATTATATATTAAATAACAATTATTATTAATTTTATATTATAAATATATTTTGATTTAAATAAAAAAACTTTTTAAAATTTTGATATAAATTATATTTTTAATTCAAATATAATGATTATAAAATATATTTATAGTGTTTTCTTTTTAGTGTATTTAGTTATAAAAATCAAAAAGAAATTAATATATAAGTTGAGAATAATTAAAAATTTAAAGTTTATAGTAATTTTATATAATTTTATATAGTAATAAATATAGATATAATATATTATTTAACTAATAATTAATATAAATAGTAAATAATACTAATTTTTAAAAACAATATCATTAAAAATAAAAGAATAAATTATTTTATTTAATATTATAAATATTAAATCTAATTCATATCGTATTATTATAAAAAATAATTAGTAAAAAACAACAAATTCTAAATTTTAAAAATAGTACTAATAGCAATTTATTAGAATAAAAAAAAATAATAATTATTAAATTAAATTATAATAACTATCTTACTATAAAATTAATATTAAAATTTTTAAACTTAAAAAAATAATTATATAATAAAAAAAAATAAAATTATAAAATCAAATAATAAAATAGAATATAAAAAAATTATATTATAATAAAAATTTATTAAGAAAGAAATTTTATAAATTAAAAAATAAATCTATAAATAAATATATAATAAGTTTAATATTAACTATATTACAATAAATTTAAACAAATCAAAAAAGATACCAAAATAGTGAAAATAAGTATGCAACACATGATAATGATAAAATAGATGAAGAAAGTAAGTGGGATATAGCAATGAATCATAAGGAAAAAAGAAGGCTATATTCAAAAAACGAAGATGTTAATTCATACAAAAGAAGAGAAAGAGTAAGTATGAGAGAAATGCTTGAAAATTTAATTGCAATTGCAGAAAAAGAA